CCCGCGGGCCGCCAAGCCGGCGTACCGGATGTGGAAGGCTGCGAGCGGCGTGGGGGCGACGCGGGGATGAGGGTCCAGAAACGTTGCTGGGCTGCTTGGTAGAAACAAAAGCCCTGGAGCCGTTTCTTCTGCCTGCGCTGGGGGAGCGAGGGAACTGCTTGAAGCAGCAAAATAACGCAGAATGAAGCTGTTAGAAATACCAGGACATCCTCCTGCTTATGGCCACGCAGGTGGATTCCTGGAAGTGACCACGTGGCAAGGCTGCCAAGATGTTTAATGAGCGCAGGCCTGACCCCGGGAGTGGGAGAGCCGAGGATGGTGCTGAGAACGCATTAAGACAGTGCCCTGTATAGCTGCACCAGCCGGATCGAGGAGCTTGCTAATAGACTGATCTCATTCAAGTCCATTAGGAGCTGATGTTCGGTGGAGTTTGCGGGCGGTGGATGAGGGATTGGAGGAAGCAGATTAGTGTTAAGAGGCTGAAGAGAATTTAGAGGGCTCATTAAAACGAGTAATCATTAAAATGCTCATCCGAAGAGGTATTCCAGCAGTGGCCGGAGGTAGGAGCAGCCCTGCACCGCTCTGAGGAGTGTTTTTGCGGGGAACCATCTCCCAAGCCCTTGGGACACTGGAGGGTACAGTTGAGAGCTGCGAGTTTTGTAGGTCCTCCTAAAGAGGAGGAAATTGCATGACCAAGTGAGCCTCCTCTCAGCTAACGTCTCCGATTCTGTGATAAATTACTATTTAGCAGGAGATTGTCTTATATTTGCGCTCAGTTACTGAAAGCTGCCCTTCCTCTTGCGCGCTGCTGGTAGCCTAGTTACCTGCTTGGCAAGCCACAGCTCACCAAAACTTTCTTAAGAGCATACCGTGCTTTATGCTCAAGGTAAATGAGCACGTTCCCTCCTTCATTATCTACCTGATAAAGATTGTGTAATTAACAGTGACAACAAGAATACTTTTTTTATTATATAATTGAAACACTGAATCAAAGTCCTAATGAGTTCACACCTCAAATACTGTGAAGCAAATTACTAACAAATCTGTCTCTAATAAAGCAGATCAGATGTTACAGTTAATAAACTTGGACTCATTTCTCCATGGGGGCTGCAGGGTTGAAGATGTGCAGGAATGGTCCCTATTCCTGCACTTCACCCTCCCAAGGTGGGTATGGCACATGGAGTCATGCTCTGAGCATGGGGCTATGCTTGCGTTGTTCCTGACAAAAACATAGGCTTGTTTCACCGGTACAAAACCGTTTTGCTCTGGCTTGTAACATGAAGTCTGCTTAAAGGCTCGCGGCCTCCAGCCACGCAGCTGACCTGTCAGAAGGAGCTGTGCCAGGGTATGATGAAGTCTTTTTGAGGTTTCCAGGAGTTGAAGAGACAGTGCAATAGTAGAGTGTCCTGACCAGTAGTGGTAAAGGCCTTTTTACATTAAATGACAATGATTTCTGACTGCACATCACAAGGTAGCTTCATCCAAAAATTGCTAAGAGTTGGACCTTGCAGTGAGCAGGCTATTCCTGTATTCTGGATTTCTCAGCTAAATTCTCTTCTACCTCATTATCTCTTGTTGTCTACTGTCTTTGTCTCCAAACTCTTGCACATATAATTTAAGTTCTTCTGCAAATTAGTCCTCAATTCTCTTAATGGTGCCTCAGCTCAACACTTGTAATCAGCCCTTCTGTGTGCTGGTCACCCTCTTTTGCCCTGCTTTCCCGAAAGCAGGTAGTTCATTTGATATGCTTAGCTCCTAGAAGGCTGTCCTAACTCACAGACCATGAGGGCTAGCAGAGCAAATTAGTTGCTGTCTGACTATTTCTCTCTGTATCGCGAAGGAGAGGAAAACTTTAGGAAAGACAGCTGAAAGGTGAGGCCTTCATGGCAAGGGTTATGTACAAGGTGATGGTAGTGTGGATGTTGAAAGCAATCTGAGAGAGAAGCATATGCAGTAAGATTTGCTGACTTAGTATGTTATACTGCAAGCTTCAGAGCTGCTGTGAACTGTGGGTTGAGATCTTGTGCCTGAAGGAAGGCAGAACCAGCGCACCCCGAGATGAATTGGTCCCCGTACTTGCTGCAAACCTAGTATCAGACAGTTGGGTTTTAGAGTTTGTGCCTGAGTCAATGATTAAATTCCCCTTTCAGACTGGAAAGACAGGGCAAGGAAGAAAAAACAATTGTTATTCTTTCAGTAAGAAGGCAGTCATACCAAAGAGAGGTAGTTCTGTTTTCTGGGACACAAATGTTTTGCTGGGCGAGCGTGCTCTGAGTTGCCTCTGGGAGCAGCCTGTTAGAGGTTCACGGGACAGGCCAGCAGGGTTTGACTTTCCCCATTTCAGGCTGCTTTTTGCGGTTTACGCTCCTCAAGTCAGTGTGCCCACTGAAGGGCTTCTGAACCCATGCACGATGCCTGTGCCCAGGAGAAAGCCAGTCTTTTACTGAGGTCGCTGTTTTGTGCAGGGGTAATAAATACCTCCATGTTCCGTGAGCTCGGGTTCCCGGTGCTTGCATGCTGGACTGCTTTCCTAAAAGATGTAGTTGTTACGCTGCTCTGCAGCAAGGGCGAACGGAGGTTTAGCTGGCACTAAGCGTAGTACTGTGGCCTAGCGTTTTGGATTTTTCCTTTAAATGTTTTGAAATGTGCAGAGTGCTGTAGTCATTTGAGTTGGCTTCTTACCTTAAGTTCCTTGTAGGAAACGGGCATTCCTCTTAACTCAGCACAGCCCCTCCGCAGCGCAGGGAAACAGCTGGTGGTGTTCTGCAAGCGTGCTCTGGTTTACCGCTAAGGGAAGCGGAGAAGCTTGTTATGCATATGTGTGTGCTAAGTTGCAGTTATCGGATCCAAACAAGACCCAGGTACAAATTCCCGTGGCTGTGGGAACGTTGGCTTGATTGGATTGGCACCAGGTTGCTGCAAGCCCTACGAAAAAGGAGGTATAGCTTTGTTCTGTGAGCGAGGTTTCCTGGGCTCTTTAACGTCCTCTGAAGGTGGCTAACCCTCCCAGTGAAGCAACAACAGCTTGGATTTAAAGGCTTTCTGACCATGCACCGCTCCTGACGCCTGGTTTTGAGGGCTGGAGTCCAATTTGATTCATTCAGTGCATTAATTTTGCATGGAGCGGGGATAGATGCCCAAAAAGTATGAAAGCTGAAATAATGCATGTGTCTTAAACTTACTGTCTGTTTGCTGCCAGCTCTTGATTGAGTGAGGTGCGCTGCCGGTCCTGAAACAAAGATTATTCTAAACAGTCACCTAAATAACAGCTAACTGTCAGGACCCCAATAACTGGTGCTTTTTTGTTTTTGTTTTTTTTTTTCTTCTGTCGTACAGAATCTGAGCTCTGGGCTGCCCTCAGGACAGGTTTGCCATGACGAGCAGAGGCTGGAGGTGATCTTCACAGATCTGGCCAGGCACAAGGATGATGCTCAGCAGCGCAGCTGGGCACTCTATGAGGATGAAAACGTCATCTGCTGTTACCTGGAGGAGCTGCTTCGCATCCTGGTGAGTAAATTTATTTCTTTGTAGTTCTAACAGAGCAGACAGCTCGGTTGGCAAAGTTCCTTTTTCTGACCTCTTTCATCCTTGTGTTGCCATCAGATTTGCTGTTTCTGAGGGTATTGGCTTGCTGTGCACCCCTCACCACTGATGTAAAGCGTTTTCCTTTTGTGTAGGCTCTGCAGCACTCTTGGACTGCGTTCCAGTCCACCTTGCAAAGCTGCTTTGAAAAGAATTGTAGGACTGTTCTTCATGGTAGGTGTGGTGTTTACCTATTGTAGGAAAAAAACCTCACCTCCAAAAAAACCAACCTCCCTCAGCAAACCTAGAAGTTTGCTGTGAGGGTCATTGCACTCCTTGGTCCATTTTAAACTTCTTCCTTGACTGGATGTGTGTGCAGGCAAGCCAGGCAGTATCGGAGAGCACGTCATACCCTGAGCACTCCCTCCTGTGGTCTGCTCTTACTTTCCCCACTGTTAAGCTTTTTTGAAGCTGCAATGTGGAGCTGCCTCGAACTGTAGCTTCCAAAGTTCTGTGCTGGTTTCTCAAAGCAGACTTGTAATTGGCTCTTAATATACGGGTTGTCTCAAGCCTACAGTGCGCCCAGGTAGACTAAGCTATGTTCTCACTGCCCTAATACAAACTAGTACCTGAGGGATGAGGCCCATTAAATGCAAAGGCATGAAAGTTCTTTTGTTTCCTTGAAAATGAGCTTCAAAGCTATTTTTTTGTGAGCCAGTATAAAGTGTTTCACCAGGTCTGTACGTATGGGAAAGGTCCATCTCAGTAGTGAGCAGCAGTGGGAAATACTGTCTCGATGCGTTCTCTAGCACATGCAAGCCCGTCTGTGTAAGGGGAGCGTGACGGTATGGGAGCCGTCACTCAGAGCAGTGACGTGATCTAGGTTATGGGTTCCGGGGTGAGGTTTGCTCTTGCACCTGTTTCTTGTTCCTCTCCACTTCTGACATAAGCAGAACAAATATTTTTGCGTTATAAATGCTAGTGTCTTTCTCTTTATCTACGGCCTACTCCCTGCACGGCCTACGTTCTTGCTGTGGGGCCTGCAGGGAGAGGTGGATTTTGTGCAACAGTTTCCTCGTAATTTGGGGGTGAGAGGAGATGTTCTCGGGATGGGGACAGCACTGGAGTTGGTGTGTGTGGCTGAAAGATGCACCCAGCAAGGCACTGCTCAGGTCATGGGTTTTTTTAAGATGTTTTCAGCCCAAGAATCACTGTATGGTGGAGATGTTTCTTAAGAATTCACTTTTGATAGAGAATCTCCAGGGCAGCTGGTTCTTCTTGTGCTATCTTCATGCTCCAGCTTTGGTTTCTTTGTAAGATGGTTTGGCTGGGGCTACTGAAATCTAAAAGGAAATAGACTGCCCGTGGTCTCTGCAGCAGTCACCTTGCTGCTTTGATGTGTTGCTGGACTGACCTGTTCATTTGTGTTTCCAGACAGATGCAGACCCAGACGTTTGCAAGAAAATGTGCAAGAAGAATGAGTTTGAATCAGTCCTGTCCCTTGTGGCATATTATCAGATGGTAAGGTGGCAGGATGCATCAAATCTCTCTTCTTTTGAAGGTTTCCCTGGAAATGCAAAAGAGCAGGGCCCCTATGATGAATATACGTTAACGCTTTTTCCCCAGATAAGGCAGTTCTATGAACTAGATGGAGCTCTAGTAAGTCCCTTTTATATGCTGGCTGGTGCCATGCTATGCATGTAAGTTGTATGGAGGAGTAGAGGATGCTAGACTTGAGCAGCAGCTAGCACCGTGAATGGTAAAGCTTGCTGCTTTTATTAGCTCCACTGAGGGCCAGAATCAGCATCTCTAATGTCTAGAGGAAGGATTTCCGAGGATGCCTTGGGAAAGCTGACAGGCTGTGACTGCTCTTCTTTTAATTGATGCACTCCCGTGCATTAGTAAATAGCTTTGCTTTGGAAAGTAGGTTGTAAGTAGAAGCCTTGGGACTGAGGAAGCAAATCAGTATTCAGAGGAAGAAATGGAAGTTTTGCCTTCAATGCCTGTGAAATGCTGCTTTGCCTCTCCTTCCTGGGACTGCCTGTTATAGGACTATGCTGTGGGTTGGAGGCTTGTCCCCAGCTTGTCCCTCAGTCCCTAGCTACAGCATGTCAAGCTTTGTTGTGCTTAATTTTCAATCTGGCACTTCTGTATCTGAACCCAGAGCTTGGTATTAGGGGGCTGTAGTGTGTTTGAAAGCAGGGGGAAGGCAGCTAGGTGTTATGGTGCCTGCTGACTTTTGCTGTGAGCTGTTCTCTGACCAGGATTTCAGGGAAGCCTAACCAGATATAGAGCAGTTGGGTCTCCTGCCTGTCCGCTGTGGTGTCCATTGTCAGAGCTTGGCTCACTTTCCTTCTCTGAACCCTGGGTTTGTTGGCTGGGGCTGGAGTGTGCAGGTTACCCACGGCAGAGCTCCTGCATGGGAGCTGCAGGTTGAGCACAGTCTTTGCTGGGATCCTGCCCTGCGTGCCCCAATACTTTCTGGTTAACAACCTGTTCTCCCAGCACAAACCCCACAACTTCACAGTTAATGAACAGGGTGTGAAGAGCCACTATCAGATGCTGAAGAGGGTTTGCCAATATCGTGTTCTCAGGAAACCTCCTCCATAGCAGTGTTCCCAAAACCCCTGCATGCTCAGAGCCTGGCTAGCTAGTAAACGAAACCTGCTTGGGATGGGGATGGGTTGTTGATCTGTATCGTTATCATCAGATGAGACATGGCATTTCAGATCTGAGCTCTTGCTGCAGCATGCCCTCTGACCGCACATGGTAGTGCTCTCTAGCCAGTCTGGTTGTGAACGTTATCGTAAAAGGACTCCTAGGTTGTTGTTAAAAGCTAGTAGAGCTTCCGTGTTTACTTTTACCCTAGGGTAGTCTGTAGCTTTCCCAATAGCAAGGGCTACTAGCCAGGTGGCCTCTACCTTAGAGCAAGCCCTCACCAGGACATCATTTGGTCTAATAAATTGTTTTTGCAGGAACACAGGGTGCCGTTACGGCTGCTGCTGTTGAAGTGCTTTGGAGCAATGTGCAACTTGGACGCTGCGGTTATCTCAATGCTTGTAAACTCTGTGCTGCCAATGGAGCTGGCCCGTGACATGCAGACTCACACGCAAGGTGAGCTGGAGCTGATGGGCTGCCCCAGTAAACCAATCCTCAGGGGTATGTCTTTCCATTAGACTGTTTACAGCAGCACTGGTGTCCTGTCACTGCCTGCCTGTTCCATGTGCCCAGTGCTCCAGGAAGAAATGTGTCTGTTTTTAAAGTTATTCTCAGGTTATCACAGGCATAAGTGGAGAATGCATGGGAGGAAGAGGATGTTTCAGTCCAGTGGTGCAAAGTGCTTTAGCTCTTGAACATGCCTTTATTCATCTATATCACTTCTATAAGAAGTCTTAAAAGCACATTTTGAGCTCTTCCGATTTGTTTCTTAATCCTGACAGAGGACACCTGCAGATCTCAAGGAAGATCTCTGCAGCATCTTAGAAGCAGTTTTTCTTTCCCCTCTACACCAGGTCTTGGAGGTGTTTCTTGCTGATAAATGAGAACTGTGCTGGTTAAAAGGAAATGACCTGCCCTCTGCCAGTGTACCACGGGGGATGATCATGCTAGAGCTGTTAACAAAATTGTGGTCATGGTCAACAAGCATCCTCTCCTCGGTATGGAGCTCCTTTATCTAGCCAGTCACACTTCTGGAAGCTAAATATCAGGAACAGACCGAATCCTTCTCAGCCCAACAGTTTTAGCGTTGCTTCTGTGCCTGACTAGTGTTCAGCCCAGCTTTCAGTGCAAGGTGGGGAAGGGTCAGCCTTTCTTGTCATCATGGGCAGCTGTGGCATTAGTTTAGTCACTGTGGCTTTCCTTTCTTCCTGGCTTTAAGATTGTGGAAAGCTGACTGCAAACAGCAGTAACTTTACATTAGTCGCTTCTCATCTGATAGCATGGCCTCTCCCAGCGTGCCTCACATGAACGTGTTCTGCTTGGCCATCAGGCTAGGCTGCAAGCATGTGTGGTCAGGTTACTGTGACTTGCTTGTTCCCTGGCAGTTTTTCCCTGGCTCCTCACAGGAGCACACGCCTGCAGGGCTCCTGGAGGTGCCTGCCAACAAGTTTTCTGCTTATGATCAGGCTCCAGTTCTGATCCCCTGAGCGCTGTGGAGCGGGGAACAGCAGTGTGTCCGTCGGCCTTCTTTGCACCGGAAGCCAGAGCCTCCCATACAGGTTTGTGGCTTGGCTCTGGCCAGGGCAAAGTGGAGTGAGAAAGGGGTGAGGGATGCCTTATTCCTCCCCTTGAACTGTGTGGGCACGCTCCTGTACAGCCTGGCTCTGCGGGCCCAGTTTCTACTGTGCGCAGCTCTGCCGTATCCTGGCTCTGCCCTCACTTTCCTTCTGTTTCATGCTCCTACTCTTTGGTGGCATGGTTGTCTCTCCTATTTAACAGGAACCCCCTTCCTGCCCTTCAAGATCCATGGGAAGACTTGGTGGTGATGGGGCCGGATTGTGCTAGTATTGTCCCCAAAGATCCTGCTTAGCCCAGTACCCTTTATCTATTAGCAGCCAGGAGCAGATGCTGAGGGAAGAGTGTAAGAACAAGGTGAACATGTAGTAATACTCCTCCAGCATTACTTTCCCAGCCCCTTGCGTGTGCGTCGCCCTAGGCAGTCGTGCCTTTGCGTCCCGTTTTGAAATCAGCCTGTAGGCCACTGGTAATGGCAGTGGCATATACTACATTTTTCTTTAAAGGAATGCTGAAAATCCATTGTTTTGTTTTAATCTCGGCCCACAATTAAAGTAGCCGTTGCATGACCTTGTGTATCAAACCAAAAGAGCCCCGGTATTTGGAGTCTCGCTGCTCTTCCCCATTGGTTTGCTGTGAATGTCATTGAGTCATGGAGAAAGGTAACCTGGTGATGGGACTGTGTAGGGATTAATATGTCTGCTCAGAACAGGGACCATCCTATCCGTTTCACTTGAGCCAAGTAAATTTGCACAAGCACCACCTTAGATGTCTCTAATAGAAGTCCCCAGCCCCCTATTCCAGACGATGCCAAACTGCCTGTGCTGTGTACAGGACGGGTGGGGTTAATTGGGTTCTGGATTGGGGCATGGGGGAGTGAAAATTGAGCCTATTGCAGAAGGCTTTGCACTCACCTTTGCTTAGATGCTTTGAAATGTAAGCATTTGAAAGCCAGGGTGGTGGGGAGCGATTGAAAAATACTTCTGATCTTGTGCTGCCTAAAAATAAACTTTCTCTTGCCTCCATCACTAATTCATAAAGTTTGCCTCCAGGTGGATGTCTTCTGTGCCATCCTCAAACCGTCTGCAGTCTCCCACTGTTCTCCCAGTTGCCTTTGCACAGGCAGGGTGGGCTGGTCCCGGGCTGTCGCAGAGCCCCCTTGCTGCTCCCTATCTGGCAGCAACATTGGTGCCAGGGAGCTTTCCGGGGGCTGTGCAGCCCTGAGTAGCACGGCTAACTCAGCCTCATCCTCATGGCCGAGCATCGAGCTTTGGCAGAGGTGACTTCTGCGCACCTTTGCTGATCTCCACATAGACTAAGCGTTAACCATCTCGCCGTGTGCCCAGCTCTCCATGTCTCTTCCCTTAGCACACTTCTGGTTGGATCAGGCCTGTCTCCCAGCAAGTGTTAGACTCTGCTTTAGGGACCAGAAAAGCATTGCAGTGCAGGCAGGTAAAAAGAGGCTTGAGCATTTCTCACATCTGCTACATCCTCTGCGCTTCTGACCTGCAGCCATGCAGCGTCCCTTCTCTCCTTAGCTTTGTCTGAAGGCGAAATGCTTTCTGCCCTCTTTGCTCTAATGCGTAGGCAGTACAGTCAAAGGGTGAAAAGCTGCTCTTCCTGCTCTTTTTTTGCTGACAGAAAATCTTTAGTTATGGGAGCCTCCAGATCCTGTACTGCCTTCCTTGTGCTAAGCAAGGGCAGCCACTTATCATAGGAACATCATCTGCGGGGCGTACAGTCCCCTTGGCCTTAGCAGCAGGGTTACAGAGAAGTGACCATCCTTGCCCCAGACGTTCCTGCCCTTCAGAGGTGTTTGAAGCCATTAGCAGTTGCTTGCTACCACTCTGGTCCTTTCGTGTCCTGCCACCAAATGGCAAGCAGTACATTGTGTGAAAACATGACCTTGAGTCCTGCAATGACTTGAGCTTATTTTGGTACCAGAAACGGGGGAATAGCAGCTGATCCGTGACATACCATGGAATAGCTAATCCCTTCTGCAGATGGCAGGGGCCAGAGCGATCAGTGCCAGCACTAAGCACCTAGGGACTGTTGAACTGGCTGCAGAAGCTGTGGGATCCCTCTGGGCTTGTTACAGAAGAACACTTGAAGCTGAAGCTGTGCGTGGATTGTGGGTGCCTTTGATGAGGAGGCACTTTACCTTGGGACTGATGCAGGCGTGTTGGCCGCTGTCCAGTTCTTCTGCCAGATGCTTGGGTTTTATTGCTTCTGGACAGCCACTTCCCTCTGATGCGGCTCGCTTGCGCATCTATCAGTGTGCTAGGAGAGCTTATAATAAGACACAGCGAGGCAGAATTAGCCAGAACAATTCCAAAGAAAACAGACGGGGATAATCCACTCTGTAATCGCAGCTCTCCCCTGTTGGAGTTCAGCGTACGAGCAAGTCAGCTGTCAGGCTCTTTTTGCTCGAGCTGTAGACGGTTATCTTTGCTCCCAGTCCCATGATCTTGCACTGCTGTATTTAGAGGTGGAAAGCAAAGTCTTTGAAGGTCTCTGAGAAATTCCTTTCATATATAATATCAGCTTTCTTACCAGTACCTCGGCAAGCTTCAGAAATACGGGCCAGTGGGCAAACAGCCTCATCTCCTCTGCCCTTCATAGCACTTTGAGTGATTCTTATCAGTCTTGACGTCAGCAGAGTCTCTCTGGTGGGTTGCCATTGTGTATTCCTTCAAAGAATTGTATTAATGCTATTTATTTTCTTGCAGACTCCGGTACCACTCTGAAAGGGGGGAAAAATCTGTGCTTTGAATGGCAATTACTCTGTGCTTCAGTATGATGCTAGCATGCTGAAGGATGCAGCCAAGGGGGAGGGAGTCTTGCTGCAGTAGGAACACTCCAAAAACTTGCAGAGTCCATGCTGAGCGAGTGCACTGGGTTGATCTGGATTTGCTCCCAGTTCAGCTTTCCGACTCCATTTTCAGCATCCTTTGAATTTAGGCAAATCTGGCCAGATTTGCCATCTAAGCCATCTAGTAGTGGAGTTTGTTGTCACCCAAGATGAATGGACTTTAGTTCATAGCAGATGGGCCAAGGACATGTTAAACTACTCTCCCCCGTCCCGTGTCTAATTAATCTTCTCCTCAATATTTGCTACAACCACATGTTTATCACCGGCTTTTAGCTCTCTGATCATTATTTCATTGCTCCTGAGGTGATGAGAGAGAATGTTTATTTTGTGAAAGCCTTATTAGGAACATGGGAACAGCAGGTCCCTATATCTACCTATTGCAGCATCCTGCTTCTGATAGCCAGCTCCAGATGCCTTGGAGGAAAGTATGAAGGAATCATGTAGCGAACACTTATGAAAGAACATAGCCAGACAAGAGGTTTTTTTCCCAGCTGTAGGTGGTTGGTGGTTAGTTATGCCTGGAAGCATTTCTTACCTGCCTGCTCTAACTGTGCATGTTCCCATTACCTGAATGCATGTCAGATTCTTTCTCTGTTACAGTGAGTTTTGGCATCGCTGACACCTTCTAGCTGAGAGCTCCTTATATAAGTATGAATTATATTTAAGTCATTGAATGTCCTCCCCAGCTTTTATACTGTGAGTAAACAGCAGGTTGCAGTTTTCTTTTGCTGCCACGTGGTCTAGACTGCTCTCATAGAAACTCTTAATCTTGTTAATCTGTAGTATCTCCAGTGAAGCACCAAATGATCTAAGCACATCTTTACTCAAGATTTTTGCTATTTGGCAACTTAGTTGTCTTGTGGACCTTTGACAAAGTCCATATGTACTTTGTTTATAGAGGCCTTGCTTATGGAGCTGACTTTTCAAAGGTATTAGGCTGGAATGATTCTCTAGCCTTTTTTCCCTCATGCTAACAGTGGACCTGTGAGCTGCCAAGTGATGCCAGTTCTTTGGCCAAAACCAGGAACATCCAGTAACAGCGAAGGCAGCAGTCTGCGCAGCCTGAAGCAAACTGCAGGGCACAGGTGCTTAGAGGTGGATTGATCTGAGCAAAGAGAAATGAAACCTCTTAAAGGATTGGAGAGGGAATTGGAAAAGCATGTGTCTTGGTGGGAAGTAGTACTGTAGGGAGAAGCATCATACATTGAAGGGAAATGCAATTGTTTGTTTGTTTTTTTTTTTAAACTAATTAAAAGGTACTGATTTAGTCAATCTTTATAAACAAACCCTCAGTTTTCTTGTAACAAGTGTCCTGGGCTCTTTCAGGTAGATGTAACTGAACTTTATTTAGCCTGTGTGTGCAGTACCCTGCTTTATAAAATTAATACTTATTTTCTTATACTCTTTGAGCTCAACTGAATTGGATGGAGGCTGCTTGTTATTGTGACACAGAGCCTATTCTGTGACTTTTTCTCTGTGAATATCTACTGAGGTGAATCCATTAATTAAGATTCAGGAAAGGCAGCGGCTGTGGTTCTGTGGAGTATTCACGTATAGCTGCTGCCAGCAAAAATTGTGTCGGACTAGCAGGCTGTGGGACATATTAATGCAGGAGATGTGTGGCCTGGGAAGTGGGCAGATGCACAGCTGGAGTCATGAACAGTGATCTGGTCTCCCCGGAGACTTTCCACACCTCCAGGCAGAGCTGATGTAGCGAAAGTAGAACAGTGCAGGGATGGTAACAGGCAGCATAGCTGTCCGGGGGTGGTATCGGTTGGAACAGGCACTATTTCAAGGTGGCCAGATGGATGCTTTTTCTGGGTTCGGTAATTACATAACTATGGGATGTGTCCTGAGACTGTGCAGGGGAGGTTTTTAATTAGTCGCATCAAGTTTGCCCAGATCCTCTTAAGTGGAGAGGAAAAAAATGAGAATGTTTGTTGTGATTATCCTCAAATCAATTTGGAAACACATGGTGTAGAAGGGGGAGAACATCCTTATGGTTCAGTAAATACAGGAACGAAGAGCACTCCAATAGGTGTTCAGTATCTTGACTTAACCACGTGGCTTTCCAGATATCACCAGGGGATAGAGTTTTGCAACCTCAGAAGAATTAATGGCTGGACCTCTGTGTTTATCTTGCAGATCATCAAAAGATGTGTTATTCTGCACTGGTGCTGGCAATGATATTCTCCATGGGGGAGCCACTGCCGTATCATCACTACGGTGAGCAGCAAAGGCTTGGCAGGATGGGAGAGCTGCTGGTGGGACCTCTTGAGTGTGTAGACAGGCAGGGAGGAGAGGAGTTTTCCTGAGGGCCGGGTTGGGATGGCTGGGGGAACCCAGCACAAGCAAGGCAAGAGTAGGGTCCGCTCTTTACCAGTAGAGCCTGGCTGCTGAAATACCGAGCCGAAGATGCTGCCCTGTATTAAAACGTGCACCTCTTATTTACCTCAGAGACGTTCTGTCTGCTGACAAGATTGAGAGCCCGGATCGCTCCGTGAAAGCCCTCTAAAGCTCTCAGGTGCATAATATGGCCTGTTCCTGCTCTCCCTTTTGACAGGATGGTGCAGCCCTATGTATTTCAAGCTCTTAGTGAAAGTGGAAAGTGTTGCAGTCAACAGGGAGGTGCAAATGTTGTGCCAGATGTGCTTGTTTCGTCCTTTGTCCTTTCGTTCTACCTTCAGCTAGAAAGCAATCTCTGCCTGGTTTTTTCCCCGTCCGTGTTGCGTTCCCAGTATTTGGGAAGCTCTGGGCTAAGTTTTCCTAGAAATGCAGTAGAGGATTTTATAAGCGTCTTATCTTCAGCTTCACTTACCTTCATGATAAACACATGCAAGATTTAAGCTGGTACAGCAGGGACCAAGGAGTGAATCTCCTCATCTCTCACTGTTCTCTCCTCATGTTACCCTGGCAATTATTTCCTGCAGGACGACTTATTTGCATGGCTCCTGAGCTTTCCGAATAGCAAAATTGAAAAATGGGTTATCGCTAATGATCTGGATGATTATTTCTTTTAAAATAGATGGATTAAAGCAGCAGCCAAGAATATAAATTTCTTCCTACCTGAAGGCTTCACTGGTGGTGGCAATGCTGGAACAGCAGCTAGAGCAGGATTTGGAATTTTATTTACTCCAGAAAAAATCCTCAGTAGGAGACCTACTTGTGGCGTTTCTCTGAACTGTGCACGGTTCTCCGAGACACTTGTCTCTTGCACAAAGACCCTTCAGTTGTTCATCTAGTCCACTTGCAGGGTGGTTAATTCCCTGGTGGCTGAAACTGGCACTCCACTAATGGATTTTCTGCATAAAAGCAGAGGGAAGTGGCTTGCTTGGGCCATTGGTTTGTTCTCACTGTACTGTAAACGCTCCTCTTTCTTCACATGCAGAACATCTCAACTCACAGTTTGTGCAGTTCCTGCTGGATGTGATTGAGGACGGACTGCCCTCAGACACCACTGACCAGCTGCCCGACTTATTTGTCAATGTCCTTCTGGCCTTCAACCTTCACATTCCAGGTTGGTATGGTGCTGCTCTCTCCTGGCAGGATTTCAGCACTCTGGAGCAGGAGGGCACGAAGGACGAGCATGCAGGATCTCACTGGGACCTTGAGGGGGCTGTGATAACTTGCCCAGTTCCCTTATGCTCTGGCAAAATGCTGCATTTCTCCCAAAGGTTTTGCTTGCCTAAATGTTGGACGAGGCTCTGGAGGGAGAAAACAGACTGAGAGCCCATGTTCAACCAAGTGACCCGTTGAGGCACAGCACCTCGGTGAAGCCCAGTGGATTTCTCTTCACATTTTCACCCTGCTGGCCCCACACAGTTGCTGGACTGTGCTTGCAGAGCATGCCTGGGGGTTAACTCTAGGCCCAGCTGAGTTGGAAGAGAAAATGCCTCAGTGGGCATTTCTCAGTATCAGTCCAGAAGGACAAGTCCTACCTTCTGTAGTTCTTGACAAACCTTCTGCTCACCCGACTGCTCCTCTTGAACCTCATGCAATGTCCATGTGTTGGTGCTGGGCTCTTCAACCTTAGCTTCAGCTGCACTTTTTCCTGGCTTCCCTCATTCTCCATCTTCCCATCCCTGCTGAGCTCCTTAAGATTAGCAAAACATCTGGATTGCAGGAAGGGAATTCGCCCTCTCGGGGCCAGGGCTGCCCAGGAGTTTTGAAGCCTGTTGTTGGAAGATGAGAGAGTAGTGCTGGGTCCTGTTAAGAGAGACCGCTTAATCCTGGGTGTGTTTGCAAACTCTCCTGTTGCTCCAATTGTCTTTAGTTAATTAATTCCTCCTCTTCTGCTTTGATGCCTTTTTCCATGGGTGGGGTTGGGGAGAGAGGGGAGGGTAGAGCAGCAAGGAGTGTCCAGTAACTCACCTCCTTTTACTTCTGAGTTGTGCTTCATTAACAATTATGTGAAAGCTTCTAATTTAATGTGAAAGTTGATTGCACGGAGACTGATTAAGTGTAGTCTCTGCTGCTTTCATTCATTACCTCTTCTCACTGTTACCATACACTTGCTGGCTGCAGTAATTAGGCAATAATGCATGACAGGCAGTGTGTTTCTGGGGGATTATTTCCCACCTGGGGTGTAGCCAAAAGCAGTGACTTGTTTTCTGATGCTAAGAAATTTTAAAATGATGTTCAGATTCCTTATTACCAGGTTGAATTTTTATTCCTCTGTCTACCAGATCTTTTATCTTGCAGTTCAGTGGTGCAGCATTAGTTCAAAAACTGTCCTCAAAATGATTATTATATTAATGTCTTTCAATGTGAAGGTTCTAAAGCGCTTCACGGCCTATGAAATTTTACAGGGTCACTAACTGTGACAGAGAAATAGCCACACTGTGCTGTTCGGATGCTTCCACGTGTGCACCCCTACACACATGTATGCATGCGCATTGAGTCTGCCAGATATTTTAGTTACAAGAAGTTACCCCCAAAACAGAATAGGGGACACTTCATAGAAGAAATTCTTCAGCATCTCCTTTTGCACTGCCTGGTGCTGAGTGCTGGGAAGGAGTACTGTTACCTTCTGGTGCGTTCTTGGAAGCTGGCCTTAATTCCTATAAGAGCCTACAAGGTGATAAATTCCAGTGGGCCACTGCTGGTATGAAGATACTAGACAGCAGCCCTTGGTTTCTAAGAGCTGGAAGTCATGTTTCAGAATATAAGGCCCTTATAAGTTATTTCAGAGTCTCCTTTGGCTTGCTGGGTTGGAGCCTTCATATGAACCAGATGCATGTAGAGAGCATGAAGTCCTAAGTGTTTAATGCATTGTTTCCAAACTTGTTTCACTCTCCATATCCTTCCCTCTTCCTGCTGGGCCCCGGTCTCTGGGGCTGAAACTCTTAGCACTGTTAAACTGGGATGCCCCAAAGCGCAGAGCAATGGTGCGGAATCCGCTTTTTCTATTACTGTGGACTTCAGCAAACAAAGGGATCTGCTAAACAGGTTTCTTCCTTTAGTTCCAGAACACAGTGTGATCATGACTACAATAAGCAAGCACTCAAATGTCAAGACTTTCACAGAAAAACTACTGCTGCTGCTGAACAGGGGAGGTGAGTTTTTGCGGCATTATTACCTCCCTAGCAGGGGGCGCAACTAGCGGTGGCTGAGAACTAAAGAGACGAGCCTGGTGCTCCTGAAGGGGTGGGATGTGTCAGGGATGCAGCTAGCCGAGGAGCTCTCATCAGCCCCCTTGTCAGATCAGCCCAGTCTCGCAGTGTGGCTGCCTGCAGCGTAGGCGAGCTCTTGCCTGGGAAGGAAGCTGGTTTGATCCCACACCACTTCTATTCTTGGGCAAACAGGGCTCCATCAGCGCTGGCTACAAACCTGTGTGCTGCCCGCGCTGGCCATCAGCTGCTCTGGCAGCCAGAGCCAGAGGGAGTTCTTGCCTTAAGTGCAGCTTTAAGAGAAATGTCCCGTTCCAAAATTGCCAGCAGAGGGTTAGCTTTGTGCCCACTCCAGGCGTAGAGCAAAATCCGCTGTATGTGTAGAGCTTTTGCAAGGCAGATTGTTAGAAAGCTGGAGTGCTCTGCAGGCAGAGCAGTGCCAGGTATTTCTGCCTGTGCTGTGTGCCACTATTGTGCTTTCTAATACCTTACGGAGCACAGGGGACCTAGCTGCCTTAGATTCATTTTGTTGATTTGCCGGTAAATAATCCATCTTGTGATGTTTGCAGCTCTTTTTACTCTGGATTTAGTTCTCTTTTGGGTTGCAAATCGCTGTCTCCACACTCAATCAGCTTGAGAGCAGCCCGTATCTTAGTGCTCTTCTGTCTGGCCTCCTCCCAAAGCCTTTGTTTAGTCCTTCACAGGCAGATTCCCTACAGGGATCATCTTACTGGGAAGGGTTGGGGGGGGGCGGGGAAGAGAGAGGCCACAACCTAATGAAGACACTTCTCCTCTGCCCTCCTTCCTGACAACTGTTGGGGGGGCCTGCAGTGTCCCAGAGCCCCTCCTGGGGTCTGCAGGGACATCTTCTGGAAAACGCAGTTTTCAATTTAAATCGGGAGGTGTTTCTTGTCTTGCTTCTGGGACGTTACTAGCCTGGTCTCCATGGTGAAAGCTCATTTCTGACACAGGCTCCACTGGACTGGTGGGCTGTTAGGAGGGGTCATTGGACCAGACTTAATAAACCGGGGGAAAATGAATGGTAGCTGTTGAGCAAGGAGGGGAGACACTGGGAGGTGATGTGCTAATGAGCTTTCACCTGGGATGTTAGGTGAAACACAAACAATGATTAATGCTAATGCTAATGAGTTTGGTCTCTGCTTGGTGCCCTCCAGAGCCACCATCCTGATTCTGCAGCTTCAAGCAAGGCACTAAGGTCTGCCTGCACTCCAGCAGCATCCATGAAAGCTAGCCAGAGGCAGGTGCTAGCTGGCCAAGGTCGGGGCAGCTTCCCCTCTATAAGCTATATAGTCTAATGAAGGGATTTGCACCAAAGATGGCAGAGGTGGATAATGGTGAGTGTGGGGCGTGACGCTGTCTCTCTGCCACCTGCAGATGATCCAGTTTGTATCTTCAAGCATCAGCCTCAGCCACCGCACTCAGTGCTGAAGTTTCTGCAGGACATCTTTGCCAGCAAGGATACGGCCAGCATCTTCTACCACACTGACATGATGGTCCTGATAGACATCTTGGTGCGACAGATCGCTGATCTCTCCCCTGGAGACAAGGTGCTCACAGGACCCCCCGGGCTCACTGAGGCTCTGAAAGGGAACAATCTCCAAAGTAACCTGGCCCTCCATCAGGGCTGCTTGGTGCGGGCAAGACTGGAGTCTGGGGTGGGCAGAATGTTTCTGGGCGCCCATATCTACCTTGGGGGCTGAGGAGGAAGGGCAGATTTATCCTGCCTTGGCACACAGCAGTAGAAGAGTGTGTGTGGAGAAAGATCTGCCAGGCTTCTGGTGATCTGCTCCCTTCTCTCCAGGGACCTTTGGGAAAAGGGCCACTCTAAGTGGTAGAAGTAGCAGGGGATCTCTTGGTTTTGGTGCTGCAAGGGGTGGGGGATGCACTTACGTGTGAGATTGGGTAAAGAGGAGCATTAGTTGCTTTGGGAGAAGCAGAGTATTCCATAGCTACTAATGAATCTTAAGGAAAAGCAGGTGCCTTTGGAGTTGCTCTCTGGCTGGTCACGCGGCAGCAGCTGTTCCCCTGCTCGTGCTGAAATGGAGGCTGGCATGCTTGTTTATCTCACTTTAAATCTCTCATTGTGCTCTCTGTTTTTTCTCCCCTCCCACTTGGCAGCTGAGGATGGAGTATCTGTCTCTGATGCACGCCATCATCCGCTCCACACCATATCTGCAGCACCAGCATCGCCTCTCTGACCTGCAGGGCATCTTGCAGCGTATCCTAGGAGAGGAGGAGGAGGGGCAGCAGTGCCAGATGGACAAACTGATCATCTTGGAAATTTATAAAGAGTTTCCAGAAATCTCTCCGGGTACCAGCTAACCGCTCCTTGGCTTGGACTGGAGTTTGAACCACTTGGATCAAAGACGTCTCTTGTTGACACTTTCTCCCCATTCCCTTCCAGTACAGCTCATACCTTATATTCCTCCGTGCGAGGCCTAAGGTTTGGACAGAGTGTTCATGGCCCTTTAGAAATGCCAGCGGCAGGGGGGGCATGGGATGCCCCCGGGGCCTGGTGCTCTGGGGACGTTAGCGCTGGGTAGAGCGGGGTGGGCGCTAGCTCGAGGTTTGCACACAAGATGTGGTACAGGAGGGTATTTAACCAGCTGGTGTTGACAGAAGGGCAGAGAGCTTGTGAGGGACTTGGCGGTCTGGATGGTTGTGTGCGTGTAGCTACGCTGGTGTCCCGAGGTCCTGGAGCGAAAGGCCTTTGCCTTAGGGTATCACTTCTTTTCCATGTGCATCTCTCCCTGCAGTGACCAAGTGGAGTCCTCTGGTGCTTGGAAGAAGCTTTCGTAACATCTGTTTTGTTTTCTGCTGCTAGTGCCAAGCCCTGCCAAGGGAGGTAGCTTGCTCGCTGTCTAACGCCTTGCCTGGTGAGCCTTTCGCTCCCTCCTGGCTCTCAGCTTCGACCCTGGGTTACAGTCCGCCTAGGGTCTTAGAGGTCTTATCCCAGCAGCTGCTTTTTTTCAATCTGCTTTCTGTAGTGATGTTTAAATCTGAATTACTCGCTCACTCTGGCAACCTAGAACTAACATTTGCCTTGGGTAGTGCAGCTCTCTTAGGAAGCCTTCGGCCCAGACGCAATGCAAAGATGTGTCCTGCCACGTGAAAGCTGCAGCTTGCCGCCTCTCTAGCAGCATTGCCCTGGGGCCCGGAGCAGAGGGGTTATCTGTGGGCAAGGGCTCTCTGTTTGTAAAGTGTGTGGATTTCTTGCCTTGAGCTTCGTAGTGGCTCTGCCTCGCCGTCCTTCCTCTCCACGTGGCAGTGCTCAGAGGCAGCCTGAGCCTGGTGTCCAGTATCTCTGTTGTGACTATGCACGAGTGTGGGGAACCATTATTTATATTTCTTCTAGGTTTCTAGCAAACAGGATTAACCTGTTTCCGTGTTACAGATACAGTCACAAACTAACGTGGATCAATTAGATATTCATGTGCACAGTCTGGTCACTCCCTGTCCCCAGCTGTTCCTTTGTAGTAGCCTGTATAGGAGCCATTGGGAAGTGGAACTGGGAATACTGGAAATAGCCGGCACTGTATTCTTAGCTTGAGGAAATGACACCTGAGCACACCCCTGCAGGCCTGGGCTCTGGGGGGCACTGGGGCGCAGCAACGCTCAGGGATGGAGGGAGTTGGCCTGGCAGCCAGGGGGGTGAGGATGCCCCCAGCCCAGGAACACCCAAAGCTTGATAACTACCCTCGTAGAGAAACCTATTTTTCTTCCCCTGTAAAAATGTATGAATGTCAAAAGGGATCCTGTATTTTCTTAAACACTAAGTGTAACATGCAGAGGAATAAAAATGTCTTAAACTGGGCTTCTGTGAACATAGTCATGTCGTGGGGTGACCGCCATCCCTGTCGTGCAGGCACTGAAGGGATGGGGTTGGCTGGGTGCCTGCTGCCTGCGCAGGCAAAATGCTGGGTGCGAATCCTCCAGGGGCAGCTACAGCCGCAGCTTTCCCACGCGTGGGCTTGCTGCCCCAGCTCTTAGCGCTGCGTTTCCCACCGCGTCGCTGGAAGACGAGGAGGTGCTGCCTGCCTGGGGTAGGAG